CTTTGGAGATACCTCAAGCAAAGTGGCAAAAATGCTTCGAAAATTGGTTCAAAGGAATACAAAAGTACACAACACTTTTATTATTGTGAAGATCCAAGCAACTCATGATCAGATTAACTTAAAAACATTGTATCCTCTATGTAGCTTTTAGCTATAGTACAAAAAAATTTTAAATGTCAAATAGCTAAACTCGAACCTTTATGGGATATTTCTTCATGAACCCAGCAAACGCAGTGCCAGCAAACCCGGCTGCAGTTAGGCCTCTCTCAGTGCTTACCATCTGCGATGACCCAAATATTGCATGACTACAAGAGTCCATGTACTATTCTAATACCGCAATGGGTCATGAGTCATTTTTATGCTTGAGAAAATGAAAGAGAAAATTAGAATTGACTGCAGTTAACGGAGTTTGAAAACTACTTTCTTCATGCTGTTTGCAGCACTTGAATTCACCTCTTCATAGGCTTACTATTAAATACACTTGTTTATAAGTGAGGGTTATGAGTGCGTATATTTGTGTAAATAGAAGTCAATGTTGCCTTAAGTACAAGTAACTTGACTTGTACTCTATTGTTTGCATTTGGAGAAAATATTTGCATGCAATGTTTGCCTGCTGGCGCAAAACAAATGTTGAAACGGAAAAATGAAAACAAAAATATACAAACTCAGGTCAGAAATATATTTATCATATATTAAGTAGCAACAAAAAGTTTCAGGGTGAATTTTCTTTTAAATGCATTACATTTCAAAAGTGTGTGGTTGAGTGTATCATATTTTTGTTTTACTGTCCAGTTTCAATAAATTTTGGAAATTTTATTGCAGTATGCAGAAAAAAAAAAAAAATAAGAAATTATAATGAACAACAATAAAGCTCTGAAAATGGTTAATATGTAGCGTTGGAAAGTACTACATACATCGCCTGATTATTTGTTTGCATTTTTCCTCTGTTCACTAAATGTTGCCCATACGACATGGCGAACATTTATCAAAACGGAATATAGTCTATACATATGGTTAAAAATGACAAATAAATTACCTAATTTACGATATTGAAGATTTTAAAGTTGTCATGCATTAAAAGGTCGTTACAATTAAATAACATTAAGCGAAAAAATAAATCAAAATAACATAAAATAAAATAATATAAGAAATAAAAAATTAAATTAAATAAAATTAAAATTAATTAAATTAAAATAAAATATACTAAAATAAAATAAATTAAATAAAACAAATTGAAATAAAGTTAAGAAAACATAACATGAAATAATATAACATAAACTAAAATTATGTAATTTAAAATATAACAAAAATATAATAACTTGAATTAAAATAAAATAAATGAAATAAAATAATTGAATTATAAAAAAATTAAAATAAAATTTAAAAAAAAATATTAACAATAAGTTAAATTAAATTACATGAAATGAAAAATATAATCAAATAAAATAAAATGAAATAAATATAATAAAATAAAGTAAAATAAAACAAAACACAATGAAACAAAATAAAATAAAATAATATAAAATAAAATAAAATAAAATAAAATAAAATAAAATAAAATAAAATAAAATAAAATAAAATAAAATAAAATAAAATAAAATAAAATAAAATAAAATAAAATAAAATAAAATAAAATAAAATAAAATAAAATATAATATAATAAAATAAAGTAAAATAAAATAAATTAAAATAAAACACAATAAAAAAAATAAAATAAAATAAAATAAAATAAAATAAAATGAAACAAAATAAAGCAAAAAATTTATAAAATTATTCCATCAAGTGCTGAAAAGTTGTGTGCCTTTTAATTTCTAATTAGTTTTTATAACAGAGTTATGTATTTATTACGTTTAGAATATTGCCACAAACTTTTAATAATACGCCATGTAATTTAACAATAATAACAGTGAATATAAACTAGCAATTTCATATACAAATCTAAGAATACAAAATAAAATGTAAGTTCATCAGATCTAATGCCCAAAATGTAATATATATTCAACCCTTCGTTAGTATTTAACTAGCATATTTTCAAAATACATATCACGTAAATCTTATTCAAATTATAGTGTCGAAAATATCGCAACAAATTTGTACAACAATCGGATAGTAAGAGAAATGTGTGTTTAAATATTGCAATTTTACTATGCGTTTAGACTGAAATTTTTTTTATGGTGTTGAAAACATAAATTTGTGCGCTTTGCAGCCAACATTTTTGTTGTAAAGTTTTTTATATGGTACTTACATATTGGAACCAAATTTGACTGAACTTTGCCGTTGAAATTTGTTTGATGTATTTTTTTTTTATTTATTTTTTTATTGCATTACTGTGTTATTTGGCTTGGGACGCAAACAAATACAGCAGTTTGCGTGCTAATATAATAATTATTTATTTCACGGTTTTACAACTACTTTTTTATGTACTAACTACTTGATGCTTCTATGGCAACGTCGTAAATGTGTGCTTATTTGATATGTGATTATTTGCAGAAGTTCGCCGCTTTGATAGACATGTTTTACCCTAAACAGTAATTTAGCTAATCTTTTGATAAGTATTAATAGAGAATTGAAGAGAAAATAAATTGAGTTTGAGAAACAGGTAGTAAAGGGTATTGCGATATCCGAACGGGACTGTGCCCGTCCACTTTATGAAAGGTTTTGCGGAAGAATCTTGGCTCACGGGATGCAAGATTTGAAGCCGAATAATCATTAATCACGTCGCACGTTCTGTGAGTAGGCTCAAAGCGAGATGCTGACCGATTCTGATTTTCTTAATAAATTTTTTTTTAAAGCTTAAGCCCATTTTTGATTGAATTATACAAAATTTTCGCATTTAGTGTGATTAGAAATCCCAAACCATTGTTGAAAAGCTATTAAATCCTCTCAAGATCACTGGTTGAAGCCACTACAGTCAATGTAGGACGCTGTAGAGCTTTGATTAATGGCTTTTTCGTGCCAGAATTGTACGCTTGCGATGTGGACCCGAATTTCGTTCAGCAAGGCCATCAATTTGATATGGTCAGCCAAAGTTTAAAGACTTCGTTCAGCATGACCGTTATATTTATTACTTCTGAAATATCTTTTATAAAACTATGTTATTTTGCATAAAATTTTGGATATATTAACTTAAGTGAATGACCTTTTTTTACCTCGCGATGGCAATTTTTTTTAATACATATTTACAACAAGGACTGATATATGACTTATAATGTTTCCAAAATTTTTACTAAATCTTTTGATTACTTTTCTAAAGTACATATGTAAATATTTTTGAAAATAACCGTTTTAGTTAGTTCTTATGTATGACCTTAATGACCTTTAGCACTTTCAAATTCACTACAAATGTGTTCAATCAGCATCACTCAATTTCTCAAATACTTATTTTCCGCAGTATATATACAAATATAAATAATTGGCGCTTTGTAACCGCTGATACGATTCTCGGCCTAGCTCTTCGTCCAATTTGTGGTTTTGGATAATATTACTTTTGTTATATAACAGAGAAAAATGTTAGAAATGACATCTGTTTGGGATATCACCACATTTCTTCATTCAACTTCTTCTGGCAGGGATTCTGACTTAACAGGCGAGTGCTCTATCACTGCGCCATGTAACCAATTGTTTCATTATTCGATCCATTATTCATGCTATTATAGCCAAGCTAGCAACAAGACACCAATCCTTATTTCATTTCGCTGTTTGGTCATGATTGAAAATCTAAAGGGCATCTGGGCTCTTCTTCACCTGGTAATTCCAACAGCATTGAGGTCTTCCTCTCTCTCAACAGATACCGAATCGAAAGCTGGAGTGTTCTCCAGCTAAGCCGCTGTCTTTCTATACGATGTAGTATGAAAATTCGATCATATTTCACCCTCAGCCCATTGTTCCATCGTCTGCGATATTCCCAGTTGCCAATGCGCAAAGTAGCTTAAATCTAACACAAAACTCTTTTAAACAATGTGATGGTCCAAAGTGACACCCATATGGCCTTGTATGCGATATTGAGAGGACGTATCTCACGGTAATTGGAGCAAACTGTGCAATTGACTTTTCGTTGCCTGGTGATAGCACACTTAGATTTCAAAAGTCTGTCATTCTTTATTATGTGGTCCAGCTGCTTAAGCTGCAATTGTCAAAATTTTTCATCAATATCATCGTTTCGTCACTTTAGTTACTATTTTTCGACTAACTGTTCTTAGTATCAATTGAGGCTGTCATCCTTCTCAGTCGTTTTCTTTCTCCACAGAGTTTTCGTCGTTTTGCTTTACTAACTCTAGTGCGAAACGCAACTTTTTATTGCAGTAGCTCTTGTTGTTTATAAGTACTGTCCGTCTTCGTTATTCTTCCTGCATTTATTGTTGCTAAAGTTTGCAACTTTTCTTTACTTTTTTCTACTTTAAGTTCTACTAAGCAGACACTTTACAGAACTTTACACGATGTTCAATGTAAAAAGGAACAAAAAAAGAATTTGGCAAATGCAGCTTAAACTACTGAGACATTATTTCCCGATTGTGGTGGCAGACATCTGTAAAGGGTGACGTTTATTGTGACGAAAGTTAATTCGAAAATAATTCAATCTTTCACTTATTACGTTTATTATGCAGCCGCAGCTGCCGAGTGGTTAGCATTGCATCTGCTGCCATTCTACGAATCCTGGTATGGCCTACATCCGAAAGTTGTAGAAATTAATTTAAATTAATAAATAAAATATTAAGTTAAAATTCCTAATAAATGTCCATCACCGGCAGTGAATTTCAAACCTTCCGAGTGTATTTCCAACATAATATTTTCTTTGACTAGCTGTTGAATCCCCTAACTCTATTATAAGAATAACTAGAAAGTTTGTGCTCTTTTGATTTGGCTTTGTTGCTATTTTTCACATCAAAATAACAATTATATAATATTATATCTTTATTTAGCTCTTTTCTCCTTTTATTATGCATTTATTTGGAATATTTTGATTTAAACTCCTATTTTTTGAGTATAATAATGTACTGGTATAAACATATATATATTTGTGTGTGCATGTATTTTACTATGAATGAAAATCTTTAAATGCTTCAGTTATTGTCCTCCAATTAGTTCACCCCAACGGCAGTGTCACCTTGAGACATGTGAAATTAATTTTTCTTACCTTCCGCTTGACATTTCGCTTGCACTTTAACAATTGCTAATCGTTTATGCACACCTACTAAGGTGTCAAATGTTGTTCACATATATTATATCCAATAACACCAACTACTCACGCTGCTTAGCGCTTTAATCATACTTACCACATACACTCGCACTTTCACTCAGCAACGGAGAGAGAAGCATTCGTATTTACCGGCAAAGGAGGTGTAGATATATCACAATTAATACTGGCAAATGACAGGTGGCATTGGCAATTCAACTCGTAGGACTCAATTGCAGACATAATTAAAATTGACGGTCAACTACGAAGAGTTACAGTATTTTATCGAATAACAAAAATTGTGTTGGCAGCTCGACCTCAATTATAACACTGCTCTGCACATTTCAGCTGTTTTTCTACGAATAAAATGGACTTTTCATATACGGAATAATTTTTGATACCAAAGCTGCATGCCATTTTTGCTGAACATTTTACTAACCGGGCTGTCCATTTCGCGGGCTTGAAAACAGATGTTAGCAAAATGCATTTAAAACAATTTTCTTTCATAAAATTCATTTCTAATTATAAAGTTCCAGCCTTGGTATTGTGTGTGCAGCACTACTTCATTCAAATGACTGCTTCGCGAATGTTCGACGGTTTTTACTTTTTGGTTCATATTTGGCGGTACCTCAGCCATAACTTGATCAATGGTTGTTTTTGAGTACACAAGAGTTAAATTATTATCCACATTAAAAACGCATTTGATATGGCCAAGGTAAGTAGTTATTCGCAATAAAGCCATCTTCTCTCGTCTTATGCGTCATGTGGCACCATCTTGGCGTTTTCAAAGAAATAAGGTCCAATCAACCCTTTGTGGAAAAAACTACACCAGACAGTAAGTTCCCCAGTGCGAATGTGCCTCGTCGCCGCAAAAAATTTTGATCGAAAAATTCACTGCTTGTTTTTTTTTTTGATGTCTAAAAATATTTTTTGAACATTCTAGAATAAAAAGCAATTGACATTTTATGCATCCGACATCGCTCTCATTGAAACTTCGAACCTTTTTACCGAGTGCACCGGATCACTCCGATATATGTTTTATATGTCACAAGTATTTTTCTCGTAGCACATTTTTGAAGTTGGCACTCAACATAACTCAAACAATTTTCAATACTTTCAATTGGCGTTTTTCTTACACCTTTTTAATATTATTTCATAAAGAATGACGTACGATATTTTCGATAACCTAATTTAAACATTTGGTTTAGACAACCAGGTGCCGTTTTTTTCTTTGTCGAAAAAATGTGTATTCCTCAAATACTTCCAAATCTCGCAAGAATCAATATTTTTCAAAGTCCGCTCGTCATACTCTAGCTCTTCTTACGTAGGTAAACAAAAATATTTTTATTTTGTTTCAGATTCTATTTTGCACCCTGCGTGCTGCAAGCCGTGGAGCTCCTTGAAGGAAATTCTCATTACAAAAATGTACATAGTTGCGCCATTTTAAAATATTTTTTGTTGTATATAAAACTCTTTTATTCAAATATAACACTAAAAAGCTATCATAACATTTTAATTGTAGTGCCTTTTTTTCTAAATAATAAAAACTTCTTAAAAACAAGTGTTTTTTGGCGTTACAGCGATCTTACCCCTTAAACTTCAGAGATACCAAAATACAACCACAAAATGAATGAAGCTTCATAAATTTATTTTAAAAAGTAAAAAATTATTTTACTGGTCCAACTTCATCTATTTAGTGTAGGAAACTAATTTGGCGATACTCCTCAGCAAGCTTTCATTATGAGAAAATTGGATTTAAATGCTTTCTACTCCCTTGAATTAAATTTAAAAAAAAAATCTTCTTCTTAATAGAGGATGCCGCTTTTTCCACTTTTATTTTACCTCTTTCCTTCTCGATTATCTGTCTCGCATTTAAATTTCCGTAGACTTTTTGACATTCGAATCTAGTAATTGCCATGTCTGAAAAATCTTTTTAAACGAGGAGACGTGACAAAACGTGTACTCTTTGTTTGATTATAATATTTTCGAAACTGAAGTTTCGAAGCAGATAATGTTGATAATGATGTAAATAAGTTTTAAGCTTAAGCTACCATTCTTAATTTTGCTATTATTTATATTTTCAATGAAATTATTGAAATGTTTTTACACTCAGGTGTGCTTTGCCTCGACAAAACTATCTTATCTACAATTCTCACTCATCAGCAAAAACAGTTTAACCGCAGCTTTCTAAAGTGTTTATTTTTTAACTGCCAAATTGTGCTTTCCAGTCAATTCTTACTTTCCTTCTTTTGTATCTAGCAACCTTCTGTCAAAATTATTGGTTGCATATGAAAATGTTCTGGCCTTGGCGAGTGTATTTATTACAAAAAAGATTTACCCGTAACGTGGTTGCTTAATTTTGAGCGCAACCGGCAAAACAATAATAAAAATTTTAATAAATTTAAATTAAATTAACTCTTTTGAAAAAACTTTTAACCAGCATGTTACTCTGTTCTCTGCCTTATTTTACCCTTTCTTGACACTAACTTATCCGCGCCTTTTCCTTTTTGTTACGAATTTAGGCATAATTAGTTATTTAGATGATACTCATGCACGTATTTTACTTACTTGACATACGCTGCGTATACGTGACATTTATAATCAATTGTGCTCACCGAACAAAAAGAAAGCTTTATAGCAGTGTTAAGTTTGATTTTATGGACTGCTGTTTTGAGCGGATGGATTTCTATTATATTTTTGATGTTCTTACTTAAAGTTATCTCTGATATTAACTTTACGATACAACGCTTGCAAATGGGAGAGTATTGATATTAGTGCCACTTCCATCGAAACTCGAAAGATTTGCACTAAAATTGAAGAGAATGTAAGTAGAATATGTCATCCACACAATAATGATAAAAAGTACTTGAATAATCTTTCATTCCACTTAAGCCTCAGCGATAAGTCATACTGCTAAAAGTAGATAATATAGACCCATTAAATATACATAAAAAAATTTATAGTAAAAAAATGTGTCAAATATATATGAATCTAAAGCAATCTCATTAAAATGATATACTAAAGTTTTATTTTCATATAAATATACCAAACTCCACACGAGGCGTTTAATACCCACTCGCACTCCCTCGAAGCTCATCCCAAGCGATATGCCAAAAATTTATTAAATTAGTCATTTCAGCATTCAATAACGAAAGTCCATGACTTCAGCAGTAAACGAAGAATATATCTCATAATAAATGCAATTAATTACCATATTATTTATGTATATTGGAAACAAGTTAAAGTGCACACACGTGCAGCCGCAAGGCAAATAAGAACCACTGTATAAATCAGAGACTACCAAAGAGTCATAACCAAAAGCTACGGCTACTGCGCGCATCATTATGAAATTCATCCCAGCGATACTTCAAGCCCAATTGCACAGACATTAAAGCTCACAAAGTGCAGAAAAGTAGGCATGCCAGCAATGTCATTTTAATCGAAGCAACCATTAGTGGCGAAATATTTTAATAAGTAATCTTTTTTTTTGGCAAGCCGTCAGCCAAGCAATTTCAATTGACTTGTCATCTTTCTGTTCTTAAATCCCAGCAAATTTGCATTTAATTGCAAAAAAATTGTTGCCACATTTTGAGGTTGAAATAAAATCATTTATAATTTTCATTTAGAAAATTAACACTCAGCGGTTTCACTTCACATTTTTCATCAAAATTTTATATCCTCTACACTCCTCTTATACATTTTGCTTCATTAGTTTCTGACATCTCCTTCGAATTGGCGGTCATGCAAATTTTACAACTTGCACTTGAGGGAACCTCAAAAGCATGAACTTGGGCGTTACGCCTGAAGCATTTTGGACGCCTCTAAACAATCCCTTGCACACCCGTATTTTGTAGCAATTGGCACATAGTTACAAATAATTGCATTATCTTGAGTGTCCTTTTCCTCTCTCTATCTCTCTCTCTCCCGCTTTACTTAATTTCCTCCTGCCAAACACTTAATTTTTCCTTCACTATTTTCTATGTTATTCTACTTCTATTCATTCCGTGGTAGTTTGGTATGCCGAGGACCAGATAGAACGCTAACAAAATAAGTAATGGATGTTCTACTAGCAATAATGGTGAAGGTAGTAGAAGTGGGGTTGATTTTTTAGTTCCAAGCTGCAGCTAACTTTCTTTATTTTTGATCTTCTTTCGCTTATATGCCCTTCTTGATAAAAGAACTTTAAATATACCGTTTAGGGAATATTTAAAAAATGTTTAATATAAATAAATATTTAATAATAAATACAACCACCATATAGCCCTGACCTTGCACCATCAGACTACCATTTATTTCGATCTTTGCAGAACTCCATAAATGGTAAAGCTTTCGGCAAAGATGAGGCTATAAAATCGCACTTGGTTCAGTTTTTTGCAGATAAAGGCCAGAAGTTCTATGAGCGTGGAATACTAAATTTGCCAGGAAGATGGCAAAAGGTTATCGAACAAAATGGCAATTATATATTTGATTAAAGTTCATTCTAAGTTTTATTAAAAATGCATTTACTTTCTTTTAAAAAATCCGCAATTACTTTTTGGGCAACCC